AGTAGCTGGGATTACAGGTGCCCGCCACCACACCCAGCTAATTTTTGTATTTTTAGTAGAGATGGGGTTTCACCATGTTGACCAGGCTGGTCTCAAACTCCTGACCTGGTGATTCACTTGCCTCGGCCTCCCAAAGTGCTGGGATTACAGGCGTGAGCCACTGCGCCCGACCAGTTCCAAGCACTTTACATCTATATCCACTCATTTAATCTTCCCAGCAACTCTATACAGCAAGTAGTTTTATTATTCCCATTTTACAAATTAGGAAATAGGGCTTATATTGCATTATCATTGGTAGCTATGTATTATCTATAACCAAGTGAGAGATCTCTGCAACTGGGATCATAAGAGAGATGAAGAGTTTGAGCCAAATACAACTAGTAAATGGAGAGGGCATTTGTTAGTTGTACGGCCTCGGGCAAACGACCTAACCTGTCTCAGATCATTTCCCCATTTTATTTTATTTTATTTTTTGAGACTAGGTCTCACTCTGTCACCCAGGGTGGTGTGTAGTGGCTCAGTCTTGGCTCACTGCAACCTCTGCCTTCTGGGCTCAAGCGATTCTTCCACCTCAGCCTCCCAAGTGGCTGGGACTACAGGTGCACGCCACTATGCCTGGATACTTTTTGTAAGGTTTCCTCCTTTAAAATAGAGCTATTAGGACAGGTTCAGTGGTTCATGCCTATAATCCCAACACTTTGGGAGGCTGAGGCGGGTGGATCACCTCAAGTCAGGAGTTTGAGACCAGCCTGGTCAACATGGCGAAACCCCATCTCTACTAAAAATACAAAAATTAGCCAGGCATGGTGGTGGGCGCCTGTAATCCCAGCTACTCGGGAGGCTGAGGCAGGAGAATTGCTTGAACCTGGGAGAAAGAGGTTGCAATGAGCCGAGTTCACACCATTGTACTCTAGCCTGGGAGACAAGAGCAAAACTCCTTCTCAAAAAAAAAAAAAAAATAGAGCAATTGATAGCACCTACCTCCGAGGTATGGGAGGAGTACCCGAGCTAATGCTCACAAAGTTCCTGGCATATGGAAATTGCCCCATTAGCAGCAGCTGTTATACTGTGAACACAGAGCTGAGAGTGTCTGGGGGTCAGCCCTCAAGACAACCGAAGGTCAGCCCCTCTGCCATTCATCCTCACCCGGTGACCATGACGCTGTCCCAGGGGGAGCTCTGGTGGAGTCTGAGTGTGCACAGATTCCCTCCAGCTCAGGGTACAGGTGTGGCCTGGGAGGTGGAGATCTTGGATTCGGGAAATAATGGGAGGACCTGGAAGGTCCCCAGGCCCCTGCTCCAGGATATAGCTTCTCTCTGGGGACAGGACCACCAAGCCTCTAAGGAAAGAGAAAGGAAGTCAGAGAACATTTCAGCTCCATGCCTGGGTCCCCTTACTTTCTCTACTGTCATCAGATCCGCCCAGTATACCTGAGCCCAGAGCAGGTACAGACGGACACCCAGGAGCCTGTGTATCCCTGCACTCTTCCCTGGTAGCAGCAGTTCTCCTACAGCACAGAAACAACATGAGCACTGTCTCAGGGAGTAGACCAGGACTGGAACTGAGGAGTCTAGCTTGAAGGCAAAAATATGCAATGTCCTCTCACCCTCCAGTCACTCCCTCCCTCTTCCCCCTAAGCCAAAAATGGCACAAGAGGACCTGACTCACCAGAGTGTGTCCCTCACTGACCACTCGAGTGCCATTGGGCTGGTACCACACCAGGGCTGGGCGGCCTGGGACCAACTCCCTGTGGAGTAAAGAAAAAGAGGGCAGTGCTTGAGCCACTTCCCAGGCTGTGCATTGACAAGCGAAGGCCTGGAGGTGGTAGGGGGCTGGGGACCAGGCCACCCCCCAGCCAACCTTTCTAATCCCCTACCCCAGGGCAGCAAAGTATACTAGTTGGGCCACTGACTCTGCTTATTGAATTCCAATCTGGTTTTCACCATATACTAGCTGTGTGACCTTGGGTAAGTTATTTAACCTCTCTGTGCCTTGACTTCCTCATATATAAAATGAGAACGATAATACATAATAGTATCTCCTTTTCAGGATTTTTTTTTTTTTTTGAGACAGAGTTTCGCTCTTGTTACCCAGGCTGGAGTGCAATGGTGCGATCTCAGCTCACTGCAACCTCCGCCTCCTGGGGTCAGGCAATTCTCCTGCCTCAGCCTCCCCAGTAGCTGGGATTACAGGCACGTGCCGCCAAGGCCAGCTAATTTTTTGTATTTTTAGTAGAGACGGGGTTTCACCATGTTGACCAGGATGGTCTCGATCTCTTGACCTTGTGATCCACCCGCCTTGGCCTCCCGAAGTGCTGGGATTACAGGCTTGAGCCACCGCGCCCAGCTCCTTTTTAGGATTTTTATGGGGATTAAATGAATGCAAACCCTTAGTATCTGGCACATAATAAATGCCATACAAGTTGTTGGCCCTGTGGTCACTATTACGGCCACCATCACTATTACCTATTCTGTAGCAGCTCCAGGATATGACTGTCACCATCCAGCTCCAGCTTGATCCTCAGGGGTTCAGGCAGACTGCTCTGTGGGCACCAGAGGGCAGGTCACCTCCCTAGACCTGCCAACAACTCCCAACCCCTGTAACCAGAAAACCTCAGGCCTCAGGAGAGCACCAGCAATTAGATCACTGGTGGGGGGATCCCAGGGGAGGGGCCAGGAAGCCCTGCCTGGCCTGGAGCATTGTTCTGGGGGGTTGTGTGGGGAGGTCAAGGAAGGTATCTGAGCTGCCCCTTCTCGGCTTCCTGCCCAGAGAGGAAGCATCGTGGAGGACCCAGCACAAGCCCCAGCCCTTCCTCTGACTCAGCTTTAGAATGGGGTTGGGAGGGGCGGGGGTGGTTTGGTAATGTCCTGATTCTTTCCAAATCAGGAAAATCTCCCAATAAAACCAACAACATGAGATGAAGAAAGCAAGTTTGGCTTCAGAATTTCCCCAGTGGAGATGGATGGGTTGGGTGGAGCTGAGGCAGACAGATGTGTGTGCAGAGGGAGAGGGAGATAAGTGAAGCCAGGTGCTGGGGTGTGATGGGAGAGGCAGCTGGGCCTGGGATAGACCCACTACAGCAAGCTCTACCCACCAGCTCCTCAACCAAGCTTTGGCCTTGAGACACCTGACTATATTGGGGCGTGTATGTGGATTCATTTATTAATTAGACAGGAGTGTGATCTCACCTGAAGCACCTCTTCGAGGCTATTTGGGAGGTCATCCTGAAGGACCTGGGGCTCCAAGGGCCCACTTGGGGACTTCTCTGACCTTGCCTGCTGCTCCTTGGTGCCACCTGCAGGTCCCAGTATACCCCAAGATAGTACTGAGGAAATAGACACCAGGGCTGGGGGTGGCAGGTGCCCATCAAGGCCCTTAGGTGCCTGAGGGACTTCTGCATTGCATGCTGGGACTTAAAGGAGACTACTGGAAGAGGGGGTGTCTCTCCACCCACCACACCATCCACAAGTCCCCAAGAAAGACCTTCGGCTTGCTCAGCCTGTGGCCCTCCTTGTCCCCCTCTGGCCAATGCCAGGTTCTCACAGGAACCCTCCCCTGCTCCCACTTCCTGCCAATCACTCTTCCTCCCTCACCCCCGGGATGCCCCCTCGAGACAGCTAAGCCCTGTGGCTGGGTGCCCACTCACCCTCCCCTTTGCTCACAGCGGAGATGCCAGGAACGCCCATTTCTGGGTGAGCAGTGCAAACACCCCCACCTCCCTAAACACCCTCATGCCCAGTCAGGCACACCCGCTGCCCACAGCCTGCGCTTCACCCCCTCCCCACACACAATGGCCCTCTCTCCTCCGGACGCTCCACCCGCCCCTGCCCTCTCAGTCCCCGGCCCAAGACAGCAGCGGGAAGTGAAAGTTCCAAGGAGGAGTTGGTGTCCAGCCTCTTTCCCAGCCAATTCTCCTTTCTCCCCGCTCCTCCCAGGCCCCTCCCGCTCGGCCAGGCATTGGTGACAACAGCACCAGGGTGAGGCGTGCCTGGCCGCCCCAGGCCTGGAATAGGGGCCAGAGAATCCTCTTCACTAAACCCTACAAGCCATGCCCACTCAGTGCCCTGGCACTGGGTGGAACGGTTAGCTAGGCCCCAGAGGAGCGAAGATGCCAGTCCTGGGGAGCAGTGACCCTCTCGGCAGAATCTTGAAGTGGCGCTGGCAAGGCCCTTCGGTACCTGGTACCTGAACCTGCAAGTGTCCGCAGGGACCGCGCAGAAGATGACCTGGCAGGAGGGGGCGGGGGGGAGGGCGCCGGCATCCCCCCTCCTTCCCTCTCCATTCCATCGCCAAGTCACCAGGCCCTAGGCCCAGGACAGCGGACCAGGGCGGGCCGCGCTCTGGCTGAGCTCTCCCAGGGTCTCTGTCCCGCCCCATTACCCTAATGCCTTCCGACTTCCCTGCACCTCCTCCCAGTCCGCCTCCTGACCCACTCCAGGCCGAGGACTCACCTATATTTGGGAGAGGCCAGGAAGGCCAAGGGCTGCCCGCGCCCAGGAGCCCCAGGGCCCAGAGCAGCGCCAGCCGCATGGCTGCGGCGCCCCGGGCCGGGCGAGGGCAGCAGGTGCGGGACAGCGCACGGAGGAGCGGCCGGCGGTCGGGTCGCCTCAGAGCACCCAGCAGCGCCGCGCAGCCACCAGGCCCCGCCCCGGCCCGCCCCCTCCCACCCGGCCCCGAGCCAGGCCCCGCCCTCGGCAAGGCCCGCCCCGCTGCGCGCCGGGTGCCTCGGGAGTCGGGAACCCGCCCACGACGCCAGCTCTGCCAGCGCCGCTCGGTCCCGCAGCTTTCCCGCAAGTGTGCGGGGTGGAAGCCTGGGCCGGATCCGACCGGCTTGGGCGGCGCGCCTTCACCAGGCCCCAGGTCCCGACCCCTCCCTAGTAGCTTCGCGGCCTCGCTGCCTCCTGTGCACCGCCCGGCTCTGGAGAGGTCGGGTGGGAGGGCGGGCTCCCCTGACTGTAGGCGAGACAGCGCGCGGCTCACCCCAGTCCCAGACCCGCGTGAAGCGTCCAGGGCATTTTATTAACAGGGGAGGACGGGGCGGGAGAGCGAGCAGGACTCCTCTTCACCCCGCGTAGGCAGTGTCGTCGTCGCTGTCACTAAAGGCGGAGGAGGAGAGCTCCTCGCGGGGCGTGCAGACCGGGCACCGCTGCCGCATGTCGTCCCAGCACGACCAGCAGTACACAGCCTCGCAGTCCAGCGTCGGGCACACGTAGGACTCCGGCGTCTCGGGCGCCTGGCATACCACGCAGCGCCGGCGCAGCCAGCGGTGCAGGAGCGGGCATTGGCGGTGCAGGATATCCACCAGCGGATGGCGCTATTGGGAGGTGGGCGTTAGCGCCAGCAGGGGAGCAAGGCGGGAAAGAAGGGGAACTTGGACAGCGTTTCCTGTCTGCAGTCGCCACGCCTGACAATGCCCGCATGTTGGAGGAGGCTGGGTTGGGCAAAGGAAACCCTTGGAAGGCCAGGCAGGGTGCTATGGAAATGGGTCCTGAGAGTCTCCCTCCCCCACTCTGATGGAGAATGGGAGGATGCACCCTCCAGGCTCTCTGCGGGTGGATATTAGCCACAACTCTCATTTGCACTTTCCCGTAAATCATCTTATTTGGTTCTCACGGCGAGGCTGAGACTGAGCAGGCCAGATCGGCTGTCACTGTTGCTATCCCCACTTTACAGATGGGGAAGGCGAAGTGACTCTCAAAGGCATTTTGATAGTAAACCATCCGACTTGGCTGGACCCCAGGGGCCCTGATTCCAAACCCCAAGTCTAGTTCACTATCCTTCCTGCCATCTCTCATGACATCCACACAATTGTCAGGGATTCTTCACAGGCCCCCTTACCTGGGAAGCTGCTACTCTTTACCCAAGAAACTCCAGAGACGCCACTGCCTGTCAGACAGGCAGAACTCCTGGGTTTGGCCTTCAGAGCCTCCCATCATCTCGTCCCTTTCTAGCCTCTTTCCCACTGTAGCCCTCCCTGAATGCTGTCTCTTCTGTGCCAGTTTCTCCTGAGACTAGCCCTGGCACTTCCATTCCCTTTGGACTCTGAGTCTTTGCACATTCTGCTGGGAACGACTGTCCTGCAGATTTCCATCTGTGTATTCGCGTTCAGTTTGCTTCAGGACCCTGTCAAGGAATCCCAGCATGTTCCTTTTTGTTTTTCGTTTTGCCTTCTTTTTTTTTTTTGAGACAGAGTTTCTATCTTGTTGCCCAGGCTGGAGTGAAATTGCACAATGTCGGCTCACTGCAACCTCTGCCTCCCGGGTTCAAGGGATTCTCCTGCCTCAGCCTCCTGAGTAGCTGGTATTACAGGCATGTGCCACCACACCTGGCTAATTTTGTATTTTTAGTAGAGACTGGGTTTCTCCGTGTTGGTCAGGCTGGTCTCGAACTCCCAACCTCAGGTAGTTGACCCACCTCAGCCTATCAAACTGCTGGGATTACAGGTGTGAGCCACTGTGTCCGGCCATTGTTTTTCATTTTTTCATGACACATTCATTTGGTCCCTATTGTGTGTCATGAGGGCCGGAGGTATCCAAGCACTAGGGAAAAAGCTAAGCAAACACAGTGTCACTTTTATGAACTTTGTTAGGACTGATTGAATAAGAATGGCTGCCACTCATTGTTTATAATGTCAAGTCCTGTACTAAGATACTGTGCATAATGTATTTCTTTTTTTTTTTTTTTTTTTTTTTTTTTTAGAGACGGAGTTTCGCTCTTGTTACCCAGGCTGGAGCGCAATGGCGCGATCTCGGCTCACCACAACCTCCGCCTCCTGGGTTCAGGCAATTCTCCTGCCTCAGCCTCCTGAGTAGCTGGGATTACAGGCACGCACCACCGTGCCCAGATAATTTTTTGTATTTTTAGTAGAGATGGGGTTTCACCATTTTGACCAGGATGGTCTCGATCTCTTGACCTCGTGATCCACCCGCCTCGGCCTCCCAAAGTGCTGGGATTACAGGCTTGAGCCACCGCGCCCGGCAATGTATTTCAATTCTAAATTAGCCGGGCGTGGTGGTGCACGCCTGTAATCCCAGTTACTCAGGAGGCTGAAGCATGAGAATCGCTTGAATGGGGGAGGCGGAGGTTGTAGTGAGCCAAGATTGCACGACTGCATTCCAGCCTAGGTGACAGAGCGACACTTAGTGTCAAAAAAAAATTTTTTTCAATTATCGTATAAGGCCCATACTGTTTTTATCACCATGTCTTTTTCAGGTGAGAAAACTGGTGCTTGGAGATGTGATCACTGCCCGGGGCACACAGTAACAACATGCATGCATATGTAACTGCTGTATGCCAGCAACGTGACCATGTGAATACAACTCATTTCATCTTTTTTTTTTGAGACTCTTGCTCTGTAGCCCAAGCTGGAATGCAGTGGCATGATCTCGGCTCACTGCAACCTTCGCCTCTGGGGCTCAAGCGATTCTCCTGCCTCAGCCTCCCAAGTAGTTGGGACTCGAGCCGTGTGCCACCACACTCAGTTAATTTTTTGGTATTTTTAGTAGAGATGGGGTTTCACCATGTTGCCCTGGGTGGTCTTGAACTCCTGAGCTCAGGCGATCCACCCGCCTTGGACTCCCAAAGTGCTGGGATTACAGGCATGAGCCACCAAGACCAGCCAACTCATTTAATCCTTACGACAACCAGATGGAGTAGTTAACCCCATTTTATGGAAGGCAGAAGCCCTGGCACAGCAGTTAAGTCATGTGCTCAAGGTCACACACTTGTCATAGTAATGAGGGAAGGAGCCGGGCTTCACACTCAGGCCCTCTGGCACTGGAGTCCCACCCCTGACCCCCACTCTAGGCTGATGTCCAGTGAGCAGGCCTTACAGATCTCTTCAATCTCACCATTCTTCAGAGGGAGAAACTGAGGCTCAGTGAAGACCTTGGCAAGGGGACACAACTTAATGAGGGAGTGTGAACTGGAGTGTGTTTCTTCAGATTCCATGTGCCTTACCATGAGGCTTCCTGACTCCCAGCCCACCTCCCCTCCGAACTGCACTGAGCTTCTGGTCTGCAGCCCTCCGGGAGAACCTCTGGTTTTGCCTTGGGCCTCCTGTTTCTGTGTAGCCCTCTTGCTTTTCTATGAGCAGACTGTATTGAAGCTCATTCTCCTTTGCTGCCTGCTTCCTAATGGCCTACTGAGTGTCTTAGGCTAGGCTGAATCCTGGGGTTCAGAAATGGGTACAGCCCTGACTTCAGGAGGTGGATGGCTGGGGCCCTCAGCATGTGTTGCATCACCAGAACTCACCAGGCTTGGCTGGGTGCTATGGCTCATGCCTGTAATCCTAGCACTTTGGGAGGCTGAGACAGGCAAATCGCCTGAGGTCAGGAGTTCGAGAGCAGCCTGGCCAACATGGCGAAACCCTGTCTGAACTAAAAATACAAAAAAATTAGCTAGGTGTGGTGGCACTCACCTGTAATCCCAGCTACTTGGGAGGCTGAGACAGGAGAATCACTTGAACTGGAGAGGCAGAGGTTGCAGTGAGCCGAGATCATACCACTACATTCCAGCCTGGGGGACACAGTGAGACTCTTTCTCAAAAAATAGAAAATAGGAAGTCACCAGGCTCGAGTAGACCTGCAACCACTGGTGGGTGCTGGGCGGACTGAAGGGAGCTGTCCCTGCCCCTCTGTATTTAGACCCAGCCAGCAGCACGTCTGGACTTACTGGAGCCTTCTGCTGTCGCGCCCGCCTCAGGATGGCGGCCCTCCTGAGTTTGGTGAAGGCTGCTCTCTTCTTCAATAGCTCATTATAAAGGAACAGGATCCGCTTCTTCTCTCGCTGGGGGCAGGGAGGGGTCAGTGATAGTGACAGAGTGAAGAAGAAGGCATCCCCCAAAGAGGGAGTTGGTCCGGAGCTGGGTGCAGGGTGTGGTGTGTGTATGAGGATGTGTGTGCGCAGGTGTGTAGGGGTGGAGAGGTCTGGGGAAGGGCAAACCTTGGGGAAGTAGAAGGCTGCGATGACCCTCCGGAGCCGGTACCCAAAAGCCTGTAACAGGCTGAGCCACACCAGCAGGACAATCGGTAGTGCAGCTCTCCAGTAGGCCCTGGCATCCAGGCCCACAGGCTGGGGCAGGCAGGCTAGGGGAGGGCAGGCCAGGGGTCTGGTCAGGGCCAGACCAGGGGCATGGTAGCCCTGGGTTGGACTTCCCATCCCAGTGGGAGGTGCAGGCAGGGCTTCTGATCCCCCTGCTCTCCTCCGGCCTGCCCCTCACTGCAGAGCTGCCAGTACTGTAGCCACCGGGGCCAGTGTGGCACAGATCTTGCAAATTTCCATCTTGGCTACACATTCTGTTGGACACTGCTGCTCTGGAGGACCGGGGCCTTTTAGCCCCAAGACCCTGGCCTCCAGACTCCTCTGACCCCTTCTTCAAGCCTGCCCAGATATGTTCCCCAGCGCAAGTGCATCAACCCCGATCTCTCCACACCCAAGGCCCAGGCCCCCAACTCTTTACCTTGGAGTCTTTTGACCTTTGCCCCACCGCCATCAATTCTCTGATCCAAACTCTCAGCATCACTCACGCATGTTGTTTGATTCCATCACTGTCTCTGAGGAGGTATTCAGGGCCCCAATGGTTTTTCGAAGAAGCCGGGCTAGCATGGAGTCTCCCTCAACCTTCACCTCCAATTTATGACTGCCTGCGGCCAGGAGGTCAGGGGGGAAGTCAGGGCAGGTGGGGAAGTCAGGAAAGTGTTAAGGGGGTGGGGCAGGATGTGGGGTGGATATCCGGGAGTGGTCAAGGCACAGAAAATGCTTCTCAGCTGCCTGGGCCTCACCGTCACCTTTCTGAATCCTAACCCCTCCCTGCCCCCGTTGTAAGTATAAAGGGGTAACCGAGCCCACCTCCCCTACTGTGAGAGCTGTCACGTTGCAGGGCTGAGTTTGACCTTGAGGAGGACAAGGAGGGGCTGAGTCACAGAAAGGAGAAAAGAGGCAGAAGGACTGCCAGGCATGGTGGTGCATGCCTGTAATCTCAGCACTTTGAGAGGCCGAGATGGGTGGATCACTTGAGGTCAGGGGTTCGAGACCAGTCTGGCCAACATGGTGAAACTGTCTCTACTAAAAATACAAAAATTAGCTGGGCGTGGTTACTCACACCTGTAATCTCAGCTACTCTAGAGGCTGAGGCAGGATAATTGCTTGAACCCAGGAGATGGAGGTTTCAATGAGCCGAGATCGTGCCATGGCACTCCTCCAGCCTGGGTGACAGAGCCAGACAAAAAAAAAGGCAGAGGGATGAGGCACAGTTGGAAGAACTAGGGCGGGGCGCCTGTGCAGTGGGAGTTCTCCAGAAGCGTCTCTTGGGCCTGGAATGTGGCTGGGGGACGGGCTCACTGCGGAATGAGTACTGCAGGAAGGAGTGGTGGCGGATGGTGTCAAAGATGGAGTAGAGAGCCCAGTCCAAGCCGCACAGCAGCACCAACAGCAGCAGAATGGGCAGTGCCTCCAGGAGCTCCCTCACCTGGCCAAGGAGCAGGCTGGGCAGAGCTGGGCAGCACCACCTACCCGGGCATGGAGCATGCTCTGGGGCCTTTTACCCTCCACCCTCATCTTTAGGCCTGTCTTTGCACCCAGGAGCCCGCTCCCCATGCTGTCCTCACCACGTTGCTCATTTCTGAGGCCTGGATGGTGGGCTTGCAGGGGAAGATGACGGTTTTCTCCTCAGCTTTGTGGAGTGGCAGCAGAGTCCGTTTGCCCTGGAAAACAGATGTCCACACAGTTAGGAAGCCCAAAGGCCCTCTGCCCTTTCCCCTCTGCCTTCCTGGGCCGTGAAGCCCACGCAGGGCACACAGCAGCAAGGCATCCGCGGGCAGTGCCATGCCCACTCACCAGCTTCCTCCTGCGGTCATCAATCTGGCAGAAGTAGGTGCTGATGTAGACGTTGTCAAAACGAATGTCATGGTTATAACTGTCCATGTAGGAGAAGGACCTGTGGGTGTACGGGCAGGGATGTCCCAGCTCCTCCAGGCTCTCCTCATCCATCCTCAACCATGGGCTTCCTTGAGGCAGACTCATTCAACCAACCAGCCAGCATTCACTGAGCACCATGTATGTCCTAGGCACTGCTAGGCAATGCTGACAACAAGGAAAAGTCTCTGTCCCTGCCTTCCAGTTGTGTAGAGGAAGAGATCCCGCTACACGATAGGTGAGACAGCGGAAGTGAGTCGAGGATGAGGCGGGGGCTCAGAGGAGGGCATGGCCATCTGGGAGAGAGTTGCATGTATGCATCTGAGACAGGGACAGGCATGCATCTTGGAGGATGAATATCGAACAGACACACAGGACGGGAAACTCCTTGAGGTTGCGGGAGTCACCTACTCCACTGTGTCTCACATTCAGCTGTCAAGTTCCTGCCTCTTGGCTTTGCCTGCAGCACATCTTCTGGGGGTTACCTCAAGCAAAACTCATCCCAAACCACCATCTGCCTCCTCCCAACACACCCTGGCCCTCCCTGGCTACCCCTGAGCGCAGTGCTGCTGTGTGGGGGTGCCTGTGTGCATGGGTGCATGCCTGCATATATAGCTATCCCCCGTGTACTTCCCAAAGCCCCACATAATGCTTGTTTGCTAAGGAAAAAATGTTAATTATTGCAAATGTGTTTAAAACTGTAAAAGTACATTAAATAAACTCTGCAAAGCGTGAAACATTAGTTTCAATGCTATTGCTTTTGGGGCCCTGGAAAAATCCACATCTTTGCCCTTTAAGATAAAACAACCGTGTTAAGTGCAAAAACACACTGTCAGCGCCCTCTTGTGGAGAGGCCCACAGGCGGTGCCTGGGCTTCCTGAGCCAGGGACTGCCCCCTCCTGCCAGCTGTCCTTTTAGTGCATGACCTCACCCTGCTTGAAAGCCTGAAGTAGCTTTTGACTCTGTGCCTCCTTCCTTCCCCCCACAAGCTGGCTCTGAGCCTTGCCCCACCTTTCCGCTTCCCCCACCTTTCCCCTTCCCTCACCTTTCCCCTTCCCCTATCTTTCCCCTTCCCCCACCTTTCCCCTTCCCCCACCTTTCCCCTTCCCCCACCTTTCCGCTTCCCCCACCTTTCCCCTTCCCTCACCTTTCCCCTTCCCCTATCTTTCCCCTTCCCCTATCTTTCCCCTTCCCCCACCTTTCCCCTTCCCCCACCTTTCCCCTTCCCTCACTTTCCCCTTTCCCCACCTTTCCCCTTCCCCCACCTTTCCCCTTCCCCCTCCATCTCCAGCCATCTTCCTACCATGCTCTACCCTGGCCAGGCTCCCTAACCTCCGACCCAGCCTGGCCTCCCTGCCTCCAGCCTGCCTGAGGCCATCGTGCCACCACTGCCAGTTCCAGGTCTTCCTGCAGGGCTTTCCAGACTGTCCTGGTAATGCCCACTTCAGTCCACCAGGCCAGCCTCTGCCCTCTGTACCCCATGGATACCAGAAGCCTTACCCAAGGAACGCCCTTCTTTCCTTTACCTTTGCTCCCCATCTGCAGCCATTTGGAGCCAAGTTACGGCCCTTCCGGGGGCACCTTCTCAGCTCTCACACACATCCCAACAGCCAATTCATAGAATGGCCCTTGAACCATCTCTGTCTGTGGGTGTCTCATCACCCCAACTAGACCAGTTGCTTTTTTTTTTTTTTGCTTTCTTTTCTTTCTTTCTTTTCTTTTTTTTTTTTTTTTTGACAAGCTCTCACTTTGACACCCAGGCTGGAATGCAGAATGCAGTGGCATGATCACAGCTCACTACAGCCTCGACCTCCCAGTGATGCTCCTGCCTCAGTCTCCCAAGCTGGGACTACAGGCATGTGCTCATTTTGTTCATTTTTTCTGTAGAGACGAGGTCTCACTGTATTGCCCAGGCTGATCTCAAACGCCTCAACTCAAGCCATCCTCCCACCTTGGCCTCTCAAAATGTTGGGATTACAGGCGTGAGCAGCAACTGTGCCCAGCAACCATGAGCTTATTGAGAGCAGGTATAGAGCGTCATCTTTGTCTTCCCACAGAGCCCTAGGTATACACATAACCACTCACTTGCAGTCACTGTAGGTCCCCCACATAGGGTCAGACAGCGACAGCCCTGTGGCAGCCCTCACCCAGGCCCTGCCCATCTCAGGTGTTTGGGAGTGGAGATGGGAAAGAGAGGGTCCAGAAGCCAAGAAGGGGAGCCAGAACAGAGCGAGGCCCGGGACAGCCCAGCTGGACACCAGGCAGGGTGGGGTTGAGGACTTTGTTCTAAATGGAGGGAAAGTCACTGCCAACGCAGCAGGCAGGAAGAAATGAAAGGAAAATGAAAGATAAAAATGGCACAAAGTCACAGCCAAGGGGAATATGAAGGGCAAGAAAAAAATCAAAAGTCAAAGCTAAATGTAAAAAAAGAAATCAGTGTTGGGATAAAGGCTGGAAGGAGGTGGATGAATGAAAATGGTTGCCCTTTTAAGGCAGTGGGAAGGTGGGTAATGTTCAAAACATCCACATTTCCTTTAACTTTGTGTAAACAAACTCAATCAAAAGTCAAAGTTAAAGATAAATAACATTAGGATTCAGAGGTGGGGCTGGGGGCTATGGTTCCAGCCTTACAGCCTCGCTCAGGGCAGGGCTCCGGTCCGGGGCAGAGGAGGGGCTGCTGGGGTGGGGCCCATGGCTCACGCGTGCAGGACCAGCAGGAAGGTGCAGGAGAGCAGCACATGCAGCAGCCCCAGGGCCCACTCCAGCCGGGCCTCCTGGCGCTGCACGTAGTCCCGAACCTCGGTGCTCACGTGCTCCCAGCTCGTGTTGAGGCCCAGCACTCCAGCCTGCTTCTCTTCCTGGTGGAGGGCACATGAGCGGACACAGCCTGCAGCCACCTCGCCACACCCAGGTCCTGCCTCTTTGCGACATCTGTCCCCCAGCACCCCAGCTTGTGTCCCTGGGGCCCTCCCAGGACCTCCAGGAGTTGTCACTTCCTTCTGCTCAGCACCCTCTGGACACAGTCTTGCTCCCCCGCACCTACATCAGCTGACGTCATCTCATATCTGGCTGATGGCCCCTCCCCAGGCCAAGTCCACGCAAACCACAGGTTTGGCACCGTCCCCTCCTCACCACCTTTCCCCTCCTCTGCCCATCTCAGGTGTTCTGGGGTAGAGATGGGAAATAGAGACCTTCCCCAATGCCAGTGACATTCCCCTTCTTGTCCCCGTCCCTCACCCGGTCACCTCTTTCCTGTGCCCTATCACTTGTCCTTCCTCTAGCCCTATTCCCTAATGCTGTCCTGCCACTCCCTATCAAACCCCCACCAACCCTGGACCTTGCCTCCTACCTTAAGGTCAATATTGGCTGAAAATTCCCCATCCAGGCCATGAATAGACTGGTTGAGGGAGTCATAGGTCTGCCCAAAGTTGCCTTCCACGGGGATGCGATTGCGGCACCAAACCTCCATCACTGGCAGACAGGGGTCGGGGTCAGGGGCCTCCCAGGGGCAGACCTGGCTGGCCTGCCTGTCCTCCTGTGGTCCTCCTCGTCCTCCTTTCTTGTCTCTGCCCATGGCTTGCTACCACACCAACACCACGTCTTCCCCTCTCTGCTCTCTTTGGATCCTGTCCTCCAGGAACCAGGCCTGAGTTCTCCTATTTTTTTTACCTGTCCTCAGCCATAACAAACATCACTAAGGAGAGCCGGCATTTCAGAGCAGCTCCTCTGTGAGCAAACTCTGCCACCGTCTTCACATACGTCCGCCCTGAAAATCCTCAAAAGCCCTTGAAGTGGCCGGGCACAGTGGCTCACACCTGTAATCCCAGCACTCTGAGAGGCAGAGGTGGGCGGATCAGCTGAGGTTAGGAGTTCAAGACCAGCTTGGTCAACGTGGTGAAACCCCGTCTCTACTAAAAATACAAAATTAGCCAGGTGTGGTGTCAAGCGCCCGTAATCCCAGTTACTCTGGAGGCTGAGGTGGGAGAATGGCTTGAACCCTGGAGGCAGAGTGTTGCAGTGAGCAGAGATTGTGCCATTGCACTCCAGCCTGGGTGACAAGAATAAAACACCCATCTCAAACAAACAAAAAGAGCCCTGAAGCAAGTACTGCTGTTACAATGCCCACCTTTCAGACAAAGACACGCCGCTCAGAGCTTTGCTGTAACTTAACGCTGGGTCACAGAGCCCGTCAGCGGATGGACCGGGCTCTGAGGATGCTGTGGCCTCAGAGCCAAAACCCTCCCCACCTGTTGCTTTCCTGCCTGTCACCTACCAGTGGGTCCCCAGGACTCAGCTCCCTACCCGATGCTCCCCACCCCCTTGCCACTGTGCAGACCCTTGGCAATGCCACAGAAGAACTTGAACTTCATAGGCAGGCAGAGCAGGTGGGTGAGGAGTGGGACCCTGATGTGCTTCATGCACTGCTCATGCTTGCGGTCAAACCAACGACGGCAGCTGAGTATGGCCTGGATCACCACATCTGCAGGGAGGAGCAGGGTGCTGAGGTCCCCACAGCCTGGTCCACAATGCTGGCCCCACATCCCACCCACACTCCCCTCCCCAGGGATACCCCTCACAGGAGCAGCGCAGCTTGGTCTTCAGCTCATACATCTTCTGTGTTGACAGGTGGAGTCTGGAGGCTGGGGCTTGGCGGGCCTCCCTGCCCTGGGCTGTCTGTCCTGAGTCCACGGCCTCCTCAGGTGTGTAGCCTGTCTCACTATTCACCTGGGCATCCAAGTCCTTGAAGGTGGTGGAGATGTTCTGAGCCTCTGCTCTCAGCAATTCTTTGCTGCTCTGGGATTGGAGGTGGAGGGAGGAAAGGGTGAGGGCTGGGGCTTTAGAGCTTCTGCTGCCTGAGGGCCTGTCCTCCCCCAGTAGCCCAGCTTTGGGCTTTCAATCCAGGCCTTCAGGGAATCTAGGCCCTGAGACAGAGCTTCTCACCTCAAATTCCCAGCTGTCCATTGCCCTTGGGAGCCCCGCTCTCCCCAGCTGCCTGGTCTGATGCCGCATGTCCTGGCCCTGGGTACCTCCCAGACTCCCAGCTCCTCCTCAGTCTTCCCATCCCAGGGCCTTCCTGGTCAGTGGTTCCGCAGGTCCTTAGACCTCACCCTCAACACTAGTCTCCAAGATCCTCATGTCACCTGAATATCTCCAACTTCCAAACCCCTCAGCCCCCATTTCCCCAACTTTCCAGCTCCCCAGTTCTCCCAAACCCCCAGTCTCCAGCCCTCCAATACCCAATTATTGAACACTCTTGTCTTCAAAGCTTCTGAGCTACTCAAGGCCAAGGCCCCCAAAATTCATAGATATCCTAGTTCAGCTGTCTAGAGTGCTGACCACTCAGGTATTTGGAAATGTGTACAGAGCCTGTCCCAGTGACTCGGGGGCTCTCCTGGCATTTACTGTCCCAGGACTGGGGCACATTCTGCAATACTTGGGAATAGTTCTGCAAAAAACGCCAGTAGTATCCACATTGGAAACTGTAAATCCAGGGACAACTCCTAGCTCAAGTTAAGTCTGCCCCGGGGAACCCCCCAGGCCCTGCCTGTGCAGATTCCTGACCAGTAGGTCCTTGAACACGGCCCGCAGGGGGGCGGTGGAGACGCGCCAAGCTGCTCGGGTGTTGTTGATCTGCAGCTCCACGGTGCAGCCCAGCGATGCGATCACGTCGTTGAGATTGTGCCGGAGATTGGCCACTGGCCCTGTAGAAAGAGGCCCTGGTGGGTCACCTCCCTACTCCCTGTAGAACCAGCACTTCCTCAAACCCACTCAGCTCCCCTCTGCATGTGGTGCTCATCTAAGAACTATACAGTGGTGGGGCTGAGAAGCTAGGAGAGGCCATCCTGTTCACTCTTGATTTTTTCACTCAACTTTTTTTGGGGGTGATGGAATCTCGCTGTGTCACCCAGGCTGAGTGCAATGGTGTAATCTTGGCTAACTGCAGCCTCTGCCTTCTGGGATCAAGCGATTCTCCTACCTCAGCATCCCGATAGCTGGGATTATAGGTGTGCACTACCACGCCTGGCTAATTTTTGCATTTTTAGTAGAGACAGTATTTCACCATGTTGGCCAGGCTGGTCTTGAACTCCTGATCTCAGGTGACCCACCCACGTCGGCCTCCCAAAGTGTTGGGATTATGGGCATGAGCCACTGTGCCTGGCCAATTTTTTAACTCTTATAAACTAAGGAGGCCCAGATATGGGGAGGAGCTCCCTCAGGCACACACCCAGATGTAGCAGCTGGGATGACACCCCAGCCTTTTCTCCTTCACCCGGCCTGGCACCCGTTGGATGGCCCACCCAGGGTCACTACTGCAGGGTCACTCACCCACCTCCACATACTCACCCATATAGATGGCAACCAAGGCGTATCCCGAGACAAAGAGCCTGCCTTCCTTGCCAAGCATCTTGGGTACTAGCAGGAGGCTGGCACAGCGGATGTGAGGGGAGGTCCCCCAGCCCATGGCCCCCAAGCCTGTCAGGAGAGCCCAGGAGGTGGTGAGTTGAAGTGAGGAAACTGCCTCACCTCCTCATGTTTACCAAAGCACCCACCTGCAACACCGCGTTCTGGAACCCCCACCCTCCTGCCCTTGTCCCCATTTCCACTGACTCTGATAGACTTGGTGAGCCACTCACTCATTCATTCAGTGGCCACTTACAGAGTTCAACTGTATGCTGGTCTCTGGAAGGGCGTGGAGGGATGGCTAGAACGTAAAAAGCTACAAATGGGGCTGGGCGCCGTGGCTCAAGCCCGTAATCTCAGCACTTTGGGAGGCCGAGGTGGGTGGATCACGAGGTCAAGAGATCGAGACCATCCTGGTCAACATGGTGAAACCCTGTCTCTACTAAAAATACAAAAAATTAGCTGGGCATGGTGACGCGTGCCTGTAGTCCTAGCTACTCAGGAGGCTGAGGCAGGAGAATTGCCTGAACCCAGGAAGTGGAGGTTGCGGTGAGCTGAGATCACGCCATTGCACTCCAGCCTGGGTAACAAGAGCGAAACTCCGTCCCCTCCCCAAAAAAAGCTACAAGTGACTGGCTTGTGTGTGTGTGTGTGTGTTAGGAAAGGGAGCCAGGGTTTTCCTGGCTATAGTCACACTGACCCTAGGCACTGAGGGAGCAGAGAGAATAAGGGAAAAACTCTGGAAACAAGCTCAGAGTGGTCAGAAGAGAGATCAGAGCCCACCTCAGTATTCCCAGTGCTGAGACACCTACAGCACTCACCGTCCCTGCCTCTAATTTTAGCCCTTAGTCATGTACCGCCGGTATGTTTTAGCAGTTTCACATGTGTCTCCCTGTGGTCTCTACAAGGAGACAGTGAGCTCCTGGAAGCTCATAATCCAGAGAGAGACAGATGAGTAAACAAATGACTTAGCACGATGTGCTAAGTGCATAAGGGAGGTGCTTATAGAGCACTGTGGGAGCCAAGGAGGGAGTGGGAATTTCTGCAGGGAGGGGTGGGGCTGGGCTGAGAAGGCTGGACAAAGAGAGGATGTGTCAGCTGGGCCTGGAAGGTGAGTAAGTGTCCTTAGGAGGTGCAGATGGCATTCCCAGCCAAAGGAACAGTGTAAGTGGTCCGGAGAGCTAGCAGAGTCCTGTGTTGATGGACTGCTCAACCAATGATTGCCCAAGCAAACCCCAAATCCTTACACTTCCTCCATCTGCACTGTCCTGGTAGAGTCCCCATCATCTCTTACTGGGGCGATAAGCTAAACGAGTCTCCCTATGTCCTCTCTTGCTACCTTACACTTCGGTGTTCACAAGGCAGCCAGAGTGATTTTACAAATGCATAAATCGGATTTTGTCCCTTCTTCCCTGCTTCAAACCATTTGGCTTTCTACCACATTTGGCAGAAAATCCAAACTCCCTAACATGGTCTACCCACCTCTCGGGCTGGCTCCTGCCTGCCTTCTGATCTCAAGCCACGCAGCCCTTCGCCTACCATGTCTACCCACACAGACCTCGTTGCTGCTCCTTGGATGAGCCAAGTTCATTCCTTCTCTCTGGTCTTTGCCCTAGGTGTTCCCCCTGCCAGGAGCACTCCTCCCCCTGTTCTTCACATGGCTGGCTCCACCTCGTCATACAGGTTTGTGGCAAACCCTCTCGGGTGCCACCCCGCAGTTTTTTTCTGCCTTCTTCCTTGCTAACACAACTTGGGTTATTTTCAAGGGCAATAGCCTGGCCCTGCCCCAGCCCCTGAGGGGTAAATCTGGATCTGTCTAAACCAATCATGGTAGAACAGGACATTGAAAGGGACTGGTTCTGTGGTCTTCGCCTTCTGGCCAAAGACTCGAGCTGAAGCCAATAAGTGACAAATAGTTGCCCTACGTTCTAATGAGAGGCCATGGAGCTGCAGGCATCTTCTTTGGGCTCACCAAAAGAGCCAAACTCGACTCTCACTCCTCTATCCCACCCCGTCTATATAAAAAAAAAAAAAACAGCAATATGGGCCAGGTATGTGGCTCACGTCTGTAATCCCAGCACTTTGGGAGGCCAAGGCAGATCGCTTGAGGTCAGGAGTTCAAGACCAGCCTGGCCAGCATGGCGAAACCCTGTCTCAACTAAAAATACAAAAATTAGCCAGGCATGGTGGTAGGCGCCTGTAGTCCCACTACTCAGGAGGTTGAGACAGGAGAATTGCTTGAACCTGGGAGGGGAAGTTTGCAGTGAGCCGAGATTGTGCCATTGCACTCCAGCCTAGGCAGCAGAGCAAGACTTTGTCTTGGAAAAAAAAAAAAAAGATCAGCAATGTGGATTTTCTGGAAGTGGAGGAAAGTGGTTGGAATGGGCAGGCGGAGAGGGAGAGTCTGTGGAGCGGATGCGTGTCACATGGCAAGTGAGAGGCTGCAGCAGTGAAGACACTGCAGGAACTGGTGCTGCAGGAAGGGGAACCTGCTTCATCTCTCCTAGACTGGACTCCTGCTGAGCTGCAGAACCTCCTGAGGCCGCTTTAGGGCTGCCACCGGAGCACAGAGTGGAGGGAAAGCTGCTGGCAGAGCCCAGCCTCTGTAAGTCTGCTGTAAGAGCTCCCCTGGACAATGAGGGCACACAACCATGGAGACTGGTGTCTGCTTCTCATCAGGAGGAGAAAGGCAGCCATGAGGTGCCCTGCTTTCTCTGCCTGGCAGGGCATAGACGTGTGCACTCCCAGCCTGCTGGGGGGAGGGATCCAAAAAGCGAGAGGCTGTGGGTGGCCCCTGAGAGGGTCTTCACTTGAGGTCAGCCAGAAAGAACTGCCCTCTGCAGGAAACTGGTCATTGCCGAGGTCCACACACCGCCTCCAAGGGGACAGTAATCAGGCCCACTGGGACAGTCAGGGTGTGAGCACCTGCTGCATGCAAGCACCCTCAGTGGAATTATAACAGCATTCGGGACTTAAGACTTTCGGCCCTTTTCCTCTAATTCTTCTAATCTCCCTTCTGACATCAGAAGAACCAGAAAGGGAAGGAAGTGGAGGAAAAAGGGGAAAGAGCAGGCCACGCCCCTACTCCACTGCAGGACCCCATGCCAGGGAGCAGGCCACGCCCCTACTCCACTGCAGGACCCCATGCCAGGGCCCCTTCTCCACCTCAGGACCCCATGCCAGGGAGCAAGACACGCCCCTTCTCCACTGCAGGGCCCCATGCCAGGGAGCAGGCCACGCCCTTTCTCCACCTCAGGACCCCATGCCCAGGAGCAGGCCTGAGCTGGGGGCGGAGGGGAGGAGGAGGGCAAGATGAGGAGGGAAGATGCTTGCAGACGGATGTGAGGTTAAAAGTGTGATGTAGAGTGGACTGGACCTCTTAAGCCCTAATAGTAAGTCTTAATTACTGAAGTAGGGCTAGGTCTTCTAAAGAAATATAACCAGAAATCTAAGGGTCTGTGTGAAAGGTTATCAATGGAAAAAAGAAAAAAACCATGTTTGAATGCAGTGGGTCAGAGAAAAGCAGTCTTCTGCTGGTATCCAGCAGGATGAATTCAATACACAGGTGATGAAGTGCTGATTCCATTTCCCTTGCCTGGGATGGGTTCAGGAAAGGGCATGTGTTGCCAGCAGTTCTGACCAGAGATGTGAGGAAGTCTGTGGGGATTACAGGCAGGTTTCCCTTGTTCCTTAAAAGGGACATGGGGAAAGGATGTTTCTTCCTCTTTTCTTTGCTTTTTTTTTTTTGAGACAGAGTCTCACTCTGTCACCCAGGACATTTTCCTTTTCCCCTGGCCTGAAATCACACAGTCCAAGACAATGAAGTCGGGCCTGGGATTGAACTTCTATTCTTTTTTTTGAGACGGAGGCTTGCTCTTGTCACCCAGGCCCTGGAGTGCAGTGGTGCAATCTCCACTCACTGCACCCTCTGCTGGGTTCAAGCGATCCTCCTGCCTCAGCCTCCCAAGAAGCTGGGACTACAGGTGTGCACCACCATGCCCGACCAAGTTTTGTATGTTTAGTGGAGAGGGGATTTCTCCATGTTGGCCAGGCTGGTCTTGATCTTCTGACCTCAAGTGATCTGCCCGCCTTGACCTCCCAAAGTGCTGGGATTACAGGCATGAGCCATTGTGCCTGGCCTGTTTCTTCCTCTTTTTTTCTGAGCTTTGACATTGTTCTATGAAGATGTGATGCCGGAGGTGCTACAGCTATCTTGTGACCTGAAGGGGCGTGGTCAACAGGCTGAAGATGGCAGAGAAAAGGCAGAAGAAACCTGAATCCTTCTTGAGGCTACTGAGCTGTTAAAATCCTAACTGGGCTGGGCCCGGTGGCCCACACCTATAATCCCAGCACTTTGGGAGGCTGAGGTGGGCAGATCACCTGAGGTCAGGAGTTCAAGATCAGCCTGGCCAACAAAGTAAAACCCCATCTCTACTAAAAGTAAAAAAATTAGCTGGTTATGGTGGCAGGTGTCTGTAATCTCAGGTACTCGCAAGGCTGAGGCAGGAGAATCACTTGAGCCCAGGAGGCAGAGATTGCAATGAGCCGAGATCATACCACTGCCTGAGCGACAGAGTGAGACTCTGTCTCAAAAAAAAAAAAAAAAAGCATGGGCGAGGTGGCTCATGCCTGTAATCCCAGCACCTTAGGAGGCCGAGGTGGGTGGATCACCTGAGGTCAGGAGTTTGAGACCTGCCTGGTCAACATACTAAAACCTCGTTTCTACCAAAAATACAAAAATTAGCTGGGTGTGGCGGTGGGCACCTGTAATCCCAACTACTTGGGAGGCCAGGCAGAAGAATGACTTGAACTTGGGAGGTGGAGGTTGCAGTGAGCTGAGATCAAGCCACTGCACTCTAGCCTGGCGACAGAGTAAGACTCCATCTCAAAACGAAAGTGTTAGGTGCTTGCTATTCTTGTTCACTGCTAAATCCTCAGCAGATTCTCAGTAAGTGCTGGATGGATGGATGGATGAATGAATGAATGAATGAATTGAGTTTCTTAGGAGGATCAGAAAAGGAGGTCAGACAGGTCAGTAGAGATGAGGGTTGTTAAGGGTAATGGGGTTGGACTACATCATGTGGGTGACGGGGAGTCCCTCGGAATGAAGAGACTCCCTCAGGGCAGGGACTGTGTCTTCCTTCTTAAACGGGGGGCCTCTTCCCTCTGGACCTCCTGCTAAAGCCCAGGAGGAGGCCGAAGCCACAGGGGCTGCATGGGTACAGAAGAAACAAGCCCCGACTCCTTCCTGGGCTTGCAGGACGGAGCTGTGTTTCACAGGCCGCTTGAGTGTCCCTGGCCTTTGCCCAGCACTAACCCACCAAGCTGTACAAAAACATCATCTTCTGCTCTTCATAGATGTTCATGGGGTTCACCAGGAGCTGAAAGAGACCTAAGGGCACAAGGTCAAGCCAAAGGCCAAAAGATGGGTCCTAGTCCTGATCCAGCCTCTGCCCACCCCGACTTTCTGCTTCCACACTCACCTATGGCCAGGAGCCCCCCAGTGCCTGCCCCTAGCAGGAAAGCAGTGACAGGAAACTCGCCCGGCTGGCGCCACAGGAACTGGCTGCAGGAGACTGGCAGCCCCCAGCTCAGGAGCCTCTGTACCGCTGAGGGGGGGACAGGGTAGCTCAACAGCCCACTCTCCCACCCGGGATGGGCTCATGAGGACTCAGGGATTACAGGGGGATAGAGGCTGGGGGAAGCTGGCAGGTGGCAGTAGAAACTTGGGGGATCCTGCAGGAGGATGAGGGAGTCTGAGGATAGGTCAGGTGTAAGGGATAGAAGAGGAAAGGGCTGGGCTGGGGGGCAGGGGGCACTAGACCTGAGAGGTAGGGGCTGGACATTGAGCTGGGGAACAGTGTGTGGGAGTTCCAGGAGAGCTGGGATGAGAGTGGAGGCCAAGGGATGCCGGGTCTCTGCTGAGTGACTCACTGGTATGAGGCTGTTTTCTTCTTTGCCCTCTTGCCCCATTCTCATGATGTTTAATGTCCATGAGTCAGTTTTAGGGAAGTGCCACTCATCCCAGAAGTCTCCTTAAGGACCTCCTTGGACGCAAGGTTCTGATGAGAGAAGAGGGGGCCGCCTGTCTCTTCTGCCTCAGAGGAAGCCTAGGCCTGAGCTCTGGGTCTTTGAATCCTGCCGCTCTGCTCCGAGAAGTGGGGAAGGAGATTAGACACCTACCTACCCCCGCTCCAGTCCTCGGAACTGAATCAGGGATTCCAAGACACATGTAGTGAAAGCCCTCGGAACCTTAGAATATGGTGAGAAATTCCAGGAGCACAGAAGTCAGCGGGCTTCTCCTGGAGACAGGCAGACATTTGGTCTCAGCAACCATGCCCGAAGTCACAAAGGATCCTGTGCGCCCCTCGGCGGGAGAGGAGCCGAGCATGGCGAGAGCTGTGGTTCGCAGCGTTGGAGGCTTTACCCTGGGCTTGTCTTTGGCCACGGCCTATGGGCTTCTGGAGCTATTGGTGGAAGGGCATAGCCCCTGGGGCTGCCTGGTGGGCACCCTCACTTTGGCTGCCTTCCTTAGCCTGGGCATGGGATTCTCCCGCCAGATCCGAGCCACTGTCCTCCTGCTGCTGCCCCAAGCCTTCTCCAGTGAGCCTGGCACCCAGGGCTGGAGGGGGCAGGTCCTGGGGCTGGTGCTGGGGCAGGAGAGATGCTGGGGGAGAGTTACGGGAAATATTCCAGAGGCTTATGTATGGGACTCGCTGCCATGTTTGGGGCCGGGGTCTTGGTTCTGATGGAGCTGTCGCCTACAGGGCAGGGCCGGACACTACTGTTGGTGGCTGCCTTCGGGTTGGTGCTTCAAGGGCCTTGTGCCAACACTCTCCGCAACTTCACCCGGGCCAGCAAGGCTGTAGCCTGTGGGGCAGAGCTGGCACTGAACCAGACCGCCGAAGTGCTGCAGCGGGCCAAGCAGCCCCTTGTCAGTAAGTTCCCCCACCCACCGCCGTCTCCCGCTGGCCCCCACCCGCCTCATCCTGCGTGTCCTGTAGTCCTTTGGCCTCCTCTGCTGGTGCTAATTGCAGAGCATCTGGGCCTGAAAGGGCCTCTGGGCACAGCTACACCCTCTCTCCTTGCTCTCTGGCCTCCTCCACTGCCAGATTAACTATCTCCCAGGCCCCAGAACCCAGGCGCCCCACCTCTGCAACAGCGGCCTCCTCTCCACTCTCTGCCTAAGGGGCAATGGTGAGAACCAGCCCCTAGAGGAGGAGATGCCACAGCGCCTCTGTCCCTCGCCCCTCAGGTGCCCTGAACAAGATTAAAGCTATTGCCCAGAAGGCCAAAGAAGTGGCTGACCGGGTCCGAAAGTTCTTTCGGTCAATCATGGATGGTGTGAAACATGTAGGTAAGCACATCAGCATGTCTAGTCCTGGGGACTCAAAATGCACCTGGGTGCAGTGGCTCACACCTGTAGAACTTTGGAAGACCAAGGTGGGAGTATCGGTTGAGCCCAGGAATTTGAGACCAGCCTCGGCAACATGGCAAGACCCCATCTCTATAAAAAAAAATTTAAAAATAAATAATAAATAAAACTAGCCAGGTGTCAGGTAGGGCGCGGTGGCTCACACCTGTAATCCCAGCACTTTGGGAGGCCGAGGTGGGTGGATCACGAGGTCAAGAGATAGAGACCATCTTGGTCAACATGGTGAAACCCAGGCTCTACTAAAAATACAAAAAATTAGCTGGGCATGGTGGCGCGTGCCTGTAATCCCAGCTACTCAGGAGGCTGAGGCAGGAGAATTGCCTGAACCCAGGAGGCGGGGGTTGCGGTGAGCTGAGATCACGCCATTGCACTCTAGCCTGGGTAACAAAAGTGAAACTCCGTCTCAAATAAATAAATAAATAAATAATGAGCCAGGTGTAATGGCACATGTCTGTAGTCCCAGCTACTGGGGAGGCTGTGGTGGAAAGATCTCTTGAACCCAGGAGTTTGAGGCTGCAGTGAGCTGTGATCATGCCACTGTACTCCAATCCAGCCTGGGTGACAGAGTGAGACTCTATCTCTAAAGAGAAAAAAAAGAGGCTGGTCACCATGGTTCATGCCTATAATCCCAGCACTTTGGGAGGTTGAGGTAGGTGGATCACCTGAGGTCGGGAGTTCGAGACCAGCCTGGCCAACATGGTGAAACCCCATCTCTACTAAAAATACAAAAATTGGCTGGGCATGGTGGCTCATGCCTGTAGTCCCAGCTACTTGGGAGGCTGACGCAAGAGAATTATCTGAACCCAGTAGGCGGAAGTTGCAGTGAGCCAAGATCATGCCATTGAACTCTGGCCTGGGCAACAAGAGCAGAACTCCGTCTCAAAAAAAAAAAAAATTCAGTTTCCTCACCCGTATCCCTGTCCAGGCCTTTTCAGGCCCCTCCTGGGTGCTGGCTAGTGCTCACTGGATACAGCACAGCAAGCACAGGCCTCTCCAGCCCTGGGTTGTGAGACGAGACTATAGGATTCCAGCTCGGGGTGCCCACCCTGCATCTGTCCCCAGCCAGGGCTCTCCGGAATGTGTGGCAGTGGCTCCTGCATATCGGGGACGTGTGCAACGCGGAGCTGGGCAACCCTTACCTGAAGTGTGCGCAGGTCTTTGATGATGCCAAGGACAGCTGTATGCAAGTCATTCCACGAGCCTACCACCTGTGTTACGTGCTCATGCCCTTCAAACTGGCGCTCTGTGGACTTGCCAGCTGTGAGAAAGCCAGGGCCCACTATCCGGGAGGGGCTGATGTGAGGTGGGGCGGGGAGGGAATGTGGGGGTCAGTTGGGAGGACAGGCTCAGGAGGACCATTAGGGGGCAACAGAGACGAACCAATAAGGATGATGGGACCAGTATTGGGGGTGGGGTGGGCAGTAGGAAGGGACAGGTGTTGGGAGAGAGGGGCCACAGGGAAGTGCTACCAGGTTTTGGGCAAATGTCGAAGCCAATAGGAAAACAGAAATTCAAAAGGCCCTGTGAGAAGAGGTCTTCAGAGGTGGGGGGGCAGGTCCAGCTGTGCCCTTCCTCCGGACACTCAGTGGACTCTGCCCATCAGTGGCCCAGGTGTTCTGCGTCATCCCCAAGTACCTTCAACCCTTCTTGCGCCAGACCATTGGCACCCGTGAGTGACCCCTTCCTCCCACACTTGGTGCTCCCTAGTGGTCTCCCTCTCTCGTCCTGGTGTGGCCACGGCCAGCCCCCAGTGATCCCAGCCCATAAAGAGGCTCGAAAGATGACCCAGGCCCACATCCATGCTGTACAGATCAGGAAACTGAGGTCCAGCGAAGGGCCAGTGCCTCACTACGCCTGCCCCCAGAGTAGGAGCTGGGAACAGAAGCAGGGGCTCCTGTCCACATTCAGGTCACCGAGACCTTTCCTCAGGGGCACTGGTTGCATGCCTGGTGTCATGCTGGGTGCTGAGCATGTGGTGGCAATGGCACAGATATGTGGAGGCTTTGTCCCCCTCCTCAGTCCACCTTGACCTAAGCACTGGGGGGTCCCAGCTGGTCTGTGAGCTGTGCGCCCCGTGGGCTGTGCCAGGCCCCTCCCTGGGTGCAGCTCCACCCTCTCCTAACTCTCCTTGCCCACGTCTCCCTGAATCCGCTGGCCCCAGCTGTGATTCAGTTGCTCAACCGCGTGCGTCAGGAGTTTGAGTTCAACATGACAGCCACTCACCACTTCTCTGTGGATCTCAATGCCTCTCGGAGCCTGTCGCAGGTAGCCATGGACCTCCAGGAGGCTGTCAGCATGAAGCTGCACCGCATCCGAGAGGCCTTGGCTCTGATGGGCTTCACCACGCCTCTGCTGCTTGTGCTTCTCTACCTCCAGTGAGGGGCTGCCGTCAGCATGGGGGTGCAGGGCCAGGGCTGCAGGGAGCGGTCATCCCCTGGGCATCCAGGGAAGCTGACGTTTCGGGGTTGGAGAGGGGACGCCCTGTGCGGTCTGGCCCAGGGACCTAAAGGGCCTCACACGTGTGCCACCTCCGTTTCCCAGAGCCCTATTTTACCGGTACTGTTACCTGAACTGGGACCATTACGACAATATCTACATCACCAGCCGATTCCTGCGCATGGAGGCTGTGCGCTCCTCAGCTGGGCTGCCCACGGTGCTACCACTCAGTGCTCACGAGGCCAGGCGCTACATCCCACCAGGTGAGGGTCCTGAGGACAGGGAGAACCCGGCTCAGGGAGCCCAGGGCTTCCGCCCATCCTGCTGCCCTGCAGGGCCAGAGGGAGGAAACATAACCCAGAGCTTAAGGAACTTTCCGGCTGATGGGAGACACTGGCCAGTCCTTGGGGCGCCTGCAATCTGAAAGGGAAACATAGACACCCTTGGAGAAAGTAGCCAGAGACAGGAGGGGAAGATGGTGCTTCTGGGAGCACCCTGGATGTCAGGACAGCAGGGGGTGGACACAGTGAGGGGGAAGTCACTTCCGGGGGTGAGCAGGAAGTGTGAATGTGCTAATATGGTGGGGGAGGACTGCCTGTGAGGTAGGGAAGCAGGTAAGGGAATGAGGGATGCCCTAGAAGAGGGGGTTCCTGAGACTGGAATGGGCCACAGCCCAGGTGGAGATTCGGGGCAGGCCCCTCCCCTCTAGCCACAGAGCCCCCTGCCCTGAAGAGTGTTTCCTCACAACTTCTTTTCCTTTCCATATTCCCGATGAGCAGACAGGCCCAGGACTGATCAGGGGCAGGAGGCCTGTCTAAGAACTGGGATCTAGTGGATGGGAGAACTGGGGAGCATCCTCCTGACCATCCCACTCCCCCTCAGGCTCCATCTTCCTGTCCCAATGGGAGAAGATTTTTTGCATTCTGGAGATTGTCAACCTTATCCGACACCTCCTCCTCGTGCTGTTCCTAGTCTTCCTAGACTATGCTGTCTTCTGGGTGCTTGACCTGGCCCGGTACCAGCTGCAGGGGGAGCTGGTGGCCCGCAGTGAGTGCCTGCATGACAGCCTCCTCCCACTCACCCACTGCAGCCCCTTGGCCTGCCCCTGCATCTTCCCATCTGCTCCCAAACCTTCTCCTCTTCCCATCCTCAGTCCCGGGGACTCCCTGAATGCCCCCATGTCACTGTTACTCAGTAGTCCCCAAGTGTGCCATTCTTTCAGCTCTATCCTCTGACTAGTAACACCCGTGTCTAAGTCAAGGTTATAACATACAGAGTAGTTAAAAATGCAAGCTTAGGCCGGACGTGGTGTC